CTCCGCCATGGGCTGCGCGGCGGCGCAGGGGCGGCTGGCGGCGGGGCTGCTCGTCAACCTGGCCGCCTCCATCTGCATCGTCTTCCTCAACAAGTGGCTCTACGTGCGGCTGGGCTTCCCCAACCTGAGCCTCACGCTCGTGCACTTCGCGCTCACCTGGCTCGGCCTGTACGCGTGCCAGGCGCTGGGCGCCTTCGCGCCCAAGCGGCTGCGCGCGCGGCAGGTGCTGCCGCTCGCCCTCAGCTTCTGCGGCTTCGTCGTCTTCACCAACCTCTCGCTGCAGAGCAACACCATCGGCACCTACCAGCTGGCCAAGGCCATGACCACGCCGGCCATCGTGCTCATCCAGAGCGTGGCCTACGGCAAGAGCTTCCCGCTGCGCATCAAGCTCACGCTGGTGAGGGCCGGCGCGTGGGCAACGGTGGGCAACGGYGGGCAACGGCGGCCCGCGGGGGGCCGCCCTGGGGCTCACGGCGCCTCCTCCTCGTGCCCCGCAGCTCCCCATCACGCTCGGCGTCTTCCTCAACTCCTACTACGACGTGAAGTTCAGCCCGGCGGGCATGGTGTTCGCGGCGCTCGGCGTGCTCGTCACCTCGCTCTACCAGGTGGTGGGTAACGGCCCCGGCCCGCGCGCCCCACAGCCCCGTCCGCGCGCGGATCCTCCGCAGAGCCGCCTTCCCAGCCCCGCGGCCCTGCGAGCGCTTCTCCCTGAGCCCCTTCCACCCTGTCCATCCCTCCCAGGGGTTTCCGTAGGGAACGCACCGCGTGCCAGGGATGGGCGCAGCGTAACCCTGCGCCTCGGTTAGACCGCTCCCTATGGAGCGTGGTTTTCCAGCCCTTGGGTTGCTTTCATGGCTTATCCTTGAGGGATTTCCGTGCCGCCGTTTCCAACGCAGCCACCGGTATTTCCGTGGAGGCTGCTCCGGTGCCCGGTATGGGCCTGGTGTTACCTTTCTGCTTGGTTAAACAGAGGCATCCAAGAGGTTACCTTAACTCATTGGGCTATAGCTTTGTACTAGATATATGGCTGCATACATACCAGATATATAGATGTCTTGGGCTACAGTGTAGTACTAAAGCTTATGCAAAAAATACRAGCGCAGGGCTTGTATCAAGCCCTGTGCCCCGTGCTCTACGTGGCCCTGTGTGTGCAGGGGTGTTGGACTAGGTGATCTCTAAAGGTCCCTTCCAACCTTAAGGATTCTATGATTCCATGATGATATGCAGCTCGTCATCTGCCTTGACTCCAAAAGCTTCCCGGGTTGAAGTCCCCTTTTTTGCTGATGTGATGTTGTCATCAAACTAACCCCAAATTCCTTTGCAGTGCATAGGTTGTGCCTCCAAAGGCAGCAAGGCTCCGGGGCCTGTAGTYATAAGATGTCTCTTGTTTGGGGGCAAAAGAGGAGAGAGAGGCTGCAAAATAGCCTTGGGCAATAGAATAGTGTGTGTGCTGGAGAAATGTTAGTGCTTGAGTGAAATTCACATGTAATTTTTAAGAAACCATGACAAAASTTAAGTTGTGTACACGGAGTGCCCTGTTACTCACAAATTTGCACTGTTGGTTTGTGAAACCTTAACGTTAGGGTTTATTCTTCAGTGCAATGCTAAGGTGCATCCTTTTTGCCCGTAGCGTTCATCTCATAGCGATACGTAGCTAATGCTGGCCCTTCAAGTTGCTGTGTTGGAAATCCAAGCTGTGGTCAATACTGAAGTTCAGTAGCTTTGGGAGGAGCTGAGAAGTAAGGCAAATGGTTATTGTTTTGTTAGCTTCTGAGGAGGAAATACAGAAAGAGAGAAAAAAGTTGCTGATTCTCATAGTGTTTTTTTTTTTTTTTTTTTAATACAGCTGTGAAAGTATTCCTTAGAATAAATTCCAAAGTTTTTTCTGTGAAAGTAAATTTATCCCTTTGAAAAGCGGTATAAATTATGCCCTGTTCAAGTATGCGACAGTTCAATATCTCTTAAATTGACTTGTGCCATCCCGATGCTAAGAAGCCTCCCATGTACTTCCTAATGCAGCACACGCGGGAGGTTGGCTAAAGGGGTGGTCCCTGCAGGATCCCTCGCTCTGCTTGGGCAGAGGAAGATCCCGCTTTGTGGGAGATGGGAAGTTGTTGCCCGGGCAAAGGGCAGCCCCCACCTCCTTCCTCGTTGTTTTCCCGCTCTCCTTTAACGCCTCTCCCTTTGGATCGCAGTGGGTGGGAGCCAAGCAGCACGAGCTCCAGGTGAACTCCATGCAGCTGCTCTACTACCAGGCGCCCATGTCCTCCGCCGTGCTGCTCTGCATCATTCCCTTCTTCGAGCCCGTCTTTGGGGAAGGGGGCATATTTGGGCCCTGGACGCTCTCTGCTGTGGTAAGGATTTCATTGCCTGGGGGCTTCTTACCTCACGATTACTGAGGAACTTACAGTTAATGCTTCATATTAAGGCATGTTTCTTTGCAGAACAGATTCTTTGTACAAGCGTTGACTATAATGAGATGAGGGATATGGGGAAAGAGGRAAAAAAATCCTTGTTGTTTCCGTCCCACCTTTTCTTAGATGAGTTTCTGGCAATTGATATCAGTCCTTATTCCTGTTTCTGTTCAGAGGGCTTCTGAACAATGGGAAAATTTGACAAAGCTCAGAGGGTTGTCCTAGTACATTAAATTAAAATCATACAAATGCCTAATTCCAGGTCTAACTTATCAGAAAAGATAAGCATGCTTCTCTCCTGTGGTTATTCTTCAAAGTGTTGATTTATTTTAACCAAGAGAGTTGCAATTCCTCCCCACAACTTTCCGTCCTTGATGTCACCAAAAAAGAGCCCACTAGTGTCATATTCTGCACTGCTGCTGACCCTTCAGTCAGAGGTGGGTGCAAGGTCATTTCTGGTAGTGAGCAGAAGAACAAGTGTTTGCAACAATAAGATTTTTCCCAATACTTTTTGTGTGTTTGTGTGACTATAAATAAGATTTCTGCCTGAAAGGTGAAGACGGCGACTTCTGCATGTGAACAGCTAAATTTTTCAAGCCCCTTTTAAATGTGCGCAGAAGGTAAGAGAAGGTTGCAGTTCTATCAGTGTACATCTGTGGGCAGCATAGCCCGAGTTACTCCCATCACGTGCATCTGCAGTGGCTGGAAACTTGATTTCGTTATTGTTCGCAATTTGTTTTTCTTGGGTGACATTTTGCCTTTGTTGAGATAAAGGAACCTCAATAAATACCTGGGAATATATCTGCAGATGGCCAAGAAGTGTGTTGGCTTACTGACTGTGTGCATTAATCCACAGATAATGGTCCTGCTGTCTGGTGTGATAGCCTTTATGGTAAACTTGTCCATTTACTGGATCATTGGAAATACGTCACCTGTCACGTATCCTTTGTAACATTAGTTGCTTCTCATGTTTCCCATGAATTATGTTAGCGCTCATTCCCTCTGATTTACGGTGGGAAAAGCGCTCGGATACCCACCTGCCTTGTCTTCCCTGTTGAAGCTGGACAAGCAGGTTCCAGTCCRGGTGTGTTTTGTTTCCCTGTTGGTGCTCGGAACAGAGAATTGCAGCCGAAGCCTCCTGACGTGGCCCTCATTCCTGCAAGGAGCATTTGGCCACCAGGAAAGCGAGAGGTGCCGGGGAGCGCGTGATGGGGAGAGGCTCCACAYGGAGGTTAATGGCAACAGTGGGAATTTGCATGACTTTTGCAGTAATATTGCATGGTTTGGACATGATCAGTGCAGTTGCCACGTGTTCCTGTTTACAAAATGCTCTCTTTGCCACTGTCCTTAACAGATGTGTAGATATAACATGTTTGGACACTTCAAGTTCTGCATCACCCTCCTGGGAGGGTGCCTCTTGTTTAAGGATCCGTTGTCCGTAAATCAGGGCCTTGGGATTCTGTGCACATTGCTGGGGATTTTGGCCTACACACACTTCAAACTCAGTGAGCAGGAAGGCAGTAAGAGCAAACTGGCCCAGCGTCCCTGAAGCAGGATTCTCTGGAGGTTAATGGCATCGTGGGGAGAGCAGACGTTTAAATGCATCGATTTTGGAATGCACAGGGTGGCTTTGTTCAGCTCAAACTGTTTTTAGTTTAACTGCCAGGACCATTATTCTGTAGCTAAACACCACACAATGAATTATGTAAGGAGCTGGGGCTGTGCCATCCCAGTCCATCTGACTGGTTTCATGAAATAGCAACGTAAAAAAGATAATGGCACACCTAAAATTTCTATGGAAATTTTGCAGAAGTAGTTAGGATTTTTGCATATTAAGTGAGCTCATTAATGGCCAATCTTAAATAGAGAGAGGGAATCGTGCCCTTGTGCTCATGCCAGTGCTGCTGTTCTGAAGAAACCTGGGGGCTCTTTCAGGCAGGTGCTCTGGTGTGTGAAGATGCTGCTTCTTGCCCGGTGAATGATGAAGAGGGACACGACGCGTTTGGGTGTTTTTAAAAGGGCCCCCAGCCTCATTCCTCATTCTCGTGTGTTTTCTTATGTACGTGTTTGGCTCGAGTACGTTTATAAATTATAAATACGGCTGAAGGTATTAAATAAAGTTATTAGTGGAGYAAGACTAGAGAATACATGGGAAAGCTTGAAGCCAAGCTCTGGAAAAGTAGGAAATCAGATCTGAACAATTCATTATGTGGTTTGTTTGTTTGTTTTCTCTTTCTGTTGATCTGTTAAGGCATTAATGAGGTCGTTTTTTTTTTTTTTTTTATAAAAACTGTTATTGTTTTACAATTTTCTTTATGCCAAAACCAAGGATTTTCGTGAGACCTTGTAAGTACTTGTGAGCCTTAATAAAATCTCTGAATTTGTGGTAATTGCCAGTATTTTGCAGCCGGCCCAGGCAGGYGCCCCTGCTGCAGCAGCCCTTGGAGGCGCCGTCAGGCAGCTCGCCCGCTCTCACGGACGAGGAGGGTGGTCTCTGCCAGTGTTACTGCCTTCCCCCTCCTCTGTGCAGCCCCTGCTCGCTCCCACGGATTTCATGGTCCTCACGGATTTCACGAGATCCATGGATTTCACGGTCCTCATCTCATCCTCCCTTTGGAGGGAAGGCAGTTCCGCGTGGGCCATGGTTGTTCACCAAACAGGCCTCTCGGGACCTTTCCAAAGGGAGTGAAGTGTGAGAGGTGGCAGCCTCTTCTGCCTTAACTTGAGGGTACTCTGGAAATGAATTTATGCCGGTATCCAGCACTGTAGTTTTGGAAGGAAGGAGGAATTCCCCTATTTTAAAAGCTCGCTGTGCTCTGAGTAAGTCAGGTGAGAGTGTTTGCCAGACTGACGAGGTCCAAGCTCATTTGCAGTATCTTAATCCTCACATTCAGGCTTTATTTTATCTTCATCTACCTCTAGCAGGTTTAAAGAGGGAAATTGTATGAATAAAAACAAAGTGTTTGGGTTATCCCAACACCGAGAGCAATGGCAAGGTATTTAGCTCCTCTAAACTTTCTTTTTTTCTTTTTACAATGGAAACAGTAGGTCTTTGATGTATAAGCAACAATGCAGACCTTTTCAAGCTTGTAAATTATTTATTCTGTTACAGAATCCTTGTTTTTAAAGCAAGTTACTTCACTGTGCAACCTAAGTTTACACTGTAGCGCTCTRTATCTTCTCAAAGCCAGAAAGATCTGAATAATTTTACATCTTTACCAGCTGTGTCTTAGACATTGTACAGGTTCAAGGATTTTTTTTTTAATATATTTTTGTAAGTCTGTAATTAGTTTAAAAATACAGCCTGGACTGCTCACAGATATGTGGAGAACAGGATCATCTCTGGCCGCAGATCCCTCAGCGGGTGCCCTGGGAAAGGCATCCGCACTGATTTGTGCCGTGCACAAGTTCCTCTGAAATGCAGACACCCCACAGAGACATTCCTACAGCATTCCTAAAGGAAAACCACCAAAGGCTGTAGGACGACGAGACTTGAGGTGGGACTGATGCTAATACAGTGGCAGAATGGACAGAAGTGTGTGAGAACGTATGCACAAGGCTCCTGGAGGAGAGGAGCAGATCTGAAAGAGGAAATGAAGAAAATAGTGTAAGATTTTATATTATAAACAGTCTGTTGCTGGAATGTGCAAGTCTTGAAGGTCATTTAAGTGACATGATTTTTTTTTTTCTGTATGTTCAATAGCTGTCTTTGGAGATACACTTATTGTGTCTAACAAATAAAATATGTTGAACTTTTTCTTTGTCATATGATTCAAAATACTGAATTTAGCAGGCTTCACAATCGTGGGATAAATGGATCTGTTCCTGCAGGTTGTTTCTTTGGCTGCAGTATGATGGGTGGAAGGTCTGTTTTACTTGACTATTTCTGCTTATTGTGTGGGAAGGCAGGTTTTTTTTTCTGATTGAATCRTCTGTGCTTTGGTGGCCTGGGCATACACTGTGCAGAATGGTGGCACTCTGGGTTTTGCTCACATAAATGCAATGTGAGGGTTGAGTTGAAACACAGGAGGTTACATCTGCATGTGAGGAGGAACTTGTTCACTGTGAGGGTGCCAGAGCCCTGGCACAGGCTGCCCAGGGAGGCTGTGGAGTCTCCTTCTCTGGAGATCTTCCMAACCCGCCTGGATGCCGCCCTGTGCCCCGTGCTCTGGGTGTCCCTGCTGGAGCAGGGGGTTGGACTGGATGATCTCTRGAGGGCCCTTCCAACCTGAAACCATCCCGTGACTCTGAGAGCTCGGGTGCAGCCTGAATTTGTGGCACGTGAGGGAGGCTGTTGGCTCCAGCTTCACTTTTCCTCCACGGATCCGCGGGCGCACGAGGCCGTGTGAGTCAGTGCCCGATGGTGGGTGCCCGTCTGCTTCCCTGCGCTGCCTTCTTCACCCACCAGAATCCACCATGACACAAACTTCTGGATTTTATGAAAGAAAAATCAGAGGCTTGGCATCTTCCACCCTGTGAAGGCATCGTCCTGCGTGTACCGTCACAGCTGGAGCAAAACTGCAAATCCAGCTGCAAATCCGTCCCCTTTTGTTTTCCCTGCTATTCTGCTTGTGACTGAATTGTGGTGACAAGCTGGACCTGGCTCTATTCAGGTTTGTTTGTTAGCCTTGTTGTCTTCAAAATGCTACCATTAATTTCCCCTGGAAAAACAAGCTTTGGATGCTAAGGTGACACCTAAAAATTAGAGCAAGCACAGATGACTGGGATCAAAATATGAATGGGTAGCAGGAAGTTACCTTTGTTAACCCTCTCCCTTGAGGTTCTTCAGAGCTGGTTCCACCAGGTTTTCTCATTCTCTTATTTTGAAGTATGGCCTCAATTCTCCACACAGATACTCAAGGCTTTTTGTTTGTGTTAACTTGGTAACTCAGCACTCAGCTTGACAGATTTTGCATCTGTTTTTGTATGATTTGCTTTGTTGGTCGGCACAGGCTCCAGGAACTCGACGCCAGAGGAGTTTTTCTGTCGATACAGGAGCAGTTTCAGCCTCAGGCTTGAGGCTGAAGGATAGTAATGTGCTGCTTTTAAATCCATGAAAAGGCAGCTTGTCTTCCCAGAACCTACCTTCCAGACAGAGCCTCAATTCAGCAGGAATACATCCTGCCTGTCTCGGTCCCTGAACTGACTGCCCAGCAGAAGCCCAGGGCTAAAGCAACATTGAACCCTTGTTTGGGCCCTCCAGAGGTTTTTATTGAATTTATTTGAAAATGTTAGTGGCAGTCAAAGCTGGTAAGGTAAGTAAGGTATCTGTAAAGTAAGAAAGGTATCTGTCAATCTTTWCAGATACAAATCTGAAATTCAGCAGTGCATTATGCAATAGGAGCTTCAGAAGAGTGTTTTTAGAGCCTTTTGGAGTACAGCTAGTTGCCCCCGCAGGTCCCATATGTCACTTATCTTGTGCAGAATCTACCACCAAGAAGTGGTGCGTGTGTGTGTCTCAGCTGGCTGCGTTTACACGGCTGGGCTCTGGGAAGGGACCTGCTCTGCGCGTGGCTGGCGCGCTCAGGAGGGGTCGCTTCTGTGGGTGGGAGGGCTCCTCATCTCCCTGCTTTGAGCAGCGAGGCCTTGGTTATGCCACGCCATGGTTATGGCATTCAGGGAGCCAACCTTACTTGCCTTGCGTGGTGGGATTTTCTCCTGGGATGTCTCTTCTGCTCCCCGTTAYGCAGTCGGTCTCTCGCCTGAATTTCCACAGAATCCCAGGATGGCTGAGGTTGGAAGGGACCTCTAGAGATCATCCAGTCCAGCCCGCTGCTCCAGCAGGGACACCCAGAGCACGGGGCACAGGGCGGCATCCAGGCGGGTTGGGAAGATCTCCAGAGAAGGAGACTCCACAGCCTCCCTGGGCTTTTAAAAGCAGCAGAGCTGGGGCTGCAGCCTTGCAGGAGTCCCTGCTTTTCAAAATGTTGATAACTGCTCGACCTCCCTGTTTAGTGAGAACACAAAGGAGAAAGACGCTGAGCATATGGAGAGATGGGGGGAAAAAAAGGAAAAGGTTGAGGTTGTGGTTTCTCTTGCAGACCTTCGTTCTTCTCTCTGTCAAGATGCTGTTCTTGCTGCTTTAAAAAGGGGAGGACACTTAGCACAAGGGAAAGATCGCATGAATAACATGAATGTATGGACCTGAGTGCTGCTATTTTTCTTTCTTTCTTTTTTTTTTTTTTTTTTGTTTTTTTGTTTTTTTGTTTTTTTGTTTTCCTCTACCTGGGTTCTCTTAACAGCCCTCCTACCCGGGAAAAAGAAGAAGTGCTTTAAAATATAGGAGGAGTTGGGTTAACCTGAATTTAGGGAGGATTTTCCGCTCTGGAGCGGCCCGTGCCTTCCCAGCTGCGCTAGCTGAGCCCCTAATAGGCCCCGGGCCTTGTTCTGACAGGGGCAAGGCACGAATGGACGTGGGCAATTTAACCGCAGTGCCGTGTAAGTGAACTCTGCGTTTAGAAGGGAGCGGAGGGATCAAASGTTGGTTGGGAATTAGCCCCGCGAAGGTGCGGGCTCTCCCGTGAGCGACTTCCCTGGCACGGGCATGCAGGTCTCACCTGGTCACGCTGCAGCAGCTCCCTGGTCCCAAGGGACCAGCTCTGTGCTTGGAGCCGCAGGGGAGCAGTGGCATCCAGGAAGCGCAGGGAGGAGATTTCTGCTTGGAGCCTGGTCTAAGAATGGGATTTTTCACGGCCTCAGTACACGAAGCAATCACGGTTTAGAGAGGTTTTGTCCCCGCTTCCTAAGGAAGAGGGGAGGGACATTGCCAGTGGCTGAATGCCCAGGAATCACCCCGACTCCTAAGGCTCCGGGACAGAGGTGCGGTGCATGTTAAAGAAATAAATAAACTTGAGACAGCAAACTGGGGAAAACAGAGCAAAACACAGCACATAGACCTCCAGGCAGGGTTTCAAGTAGAGGGTCCAAGTTCACATGGTTAACTCCACAGTCAGGCATGCGGGCAGCAGGGCCGGATTTGTCAGTGGATCTTCCCTTTCTGCTGTAGCTCATGGAGAGTGGCATGTGCTCAGCTTTTCCAGGAATACAGCTGCGGAGTACAGGTAGCCTTGGAGTAGGATAGCTTAGTCCGGGCAGAGAAGCTTGCTTGTTTTCCAAAATAAACTAGATATACTGTTTAACAAAGAAATGGGGAGCCCTTATTCTGCCTCCTTCCTCTATCCTTAGTGTTTTAATCCTTAACTTCTGTGGAAGTGGTTTCACTGATTTTTTTTATTGTGTATCTAACTACAATGAGTGACTGTTTTTTTTTTTTTTTGTCTTGCAATACATTGGAGTTGCATGTTAAAAATCTTCATTAAGAGCGTGTAACTTATCTACATGCATATTTGTTGATTCCATTCAGGTTTCTGTCTTTTAGCTAAGTGGAAAAAGTCCCTCATATTGCACAACATCAGCTGTTGCAGAATAAAATGTGCCCCCCCCCCAAAAAAAAAACCCATGACTTAAGCAGTCTATCAGAAATAATTTAGCAACAAACTGTTCTTCAGGGAGTGCAGAGATAATGACAAAGGTCTCCTGGGATCAAAATTGATTTACTTTTTAAATGCATTTCTTGTCATTAGTCAAAACTTCTTTCCTACAGCTTAATGGAGAAATCAGCAGCGATGGTCACAGGTTCTTTAGACAATTCTGAGTTATTTCTGAAAAATAACTCGTGATCTCATTTCCCTAAGCGCRAAGAAACTGTCCTGACCCAACTAACAGCGTCCTGGTGCTTTCCCGGTGAGTGTCATTCCCCACAGACCCGCTCCTTAAGTTTAGCTTTGGGCGCAGTTTGCCTAGGACTCGGTGGGCAGGTGAGAACCAGGGAAGAGCTGTCCTGTTGGTCCTGTTTTCCATGGAAATKTCCATGTTGCTGAACCAGCAGCGGGTGCTAAAGAGCTGCTGCCGCTGCCTGCAGGAGGGCTTTGTCCGTCTGAGGGCGGAGGGTAATTCACAGCCTCAGAAAAACGGGAAATCTGCAGGATTCTGGAGTTTTTTAAGGCTGGCAAACTTGCCAATCACTGTTGCATATCCCTGAGCAAGCCAGGATTTAAATATCTTCTGTAAGTATTCTCAGTGTTTTCTGTGGCTGTGTGAATGTGAGATAAGCAGTCTCCTGCTGTCAGGAATTTCCTTTTAAAAATTTACATAAGTCAATATGCACAAAACATCTAAGGAAATTACACTAGGATGTGACATCCTTATTGACTGACATGATTTAAGATTTAGGGGCTAGAAATGCATGAAATGAAACGAATTTCTGGATAGACCTTTCTGCAAAAGTAGCTTTTGCACTGTGTAGCTGACACTGTGTGCTGCTGCAGAGGACGGTGCAGGAGACAGCGGGCTCCAAAGAGGAATCTCTGGCACTGAGAAGAGGAAGCTGCCAGAAATCAGAGCCAGCAGCTGGCGGGAGTGATGCCTCCAACTGGAGCAACGTT